AGGGACGCAACATTCTATACACACTAATAATCACTGCCTTTTGGAAAAAAGATCGATTTATACAATCCCTGCTTAGCTATAAGGGAGCGTACTTTTCAAGGCAGTAAATGGAATTTCCTTTTGATCACACATATCCTTTTGGAAGAAGGGGGGGAGGAGAGCAGACTTGTAAAGCTTTGTTCATATGCAAGTTTAAAAAAAAGAAAAAAAAGGTTCAGGAAGTACAAACACACCTTCAAGTCATACATTCCCTGAAAATCTATTTCAATGATCTTGTTTCTAGCTTTCACGTCAGAAACTCAAAACCATCCATGATGGAAAAACAAGTTTTTCTTCTCTGAATAGAAATGGAAAGGCATAAAAGAAGACTGCTGGAAATACCATGGCAATTTGTATCTCAAAAAATTTAGGTTAAGAACAGATAAATAAATTACAGCAAATGGTCCAAGCTATGGAAAAACAAGATGGCAGCCAAGTGCCATGTACTGGGCAATCCAGTTTCTGTTGACAAGAAAGGGAACTTCGAACAAGCATTTTTAATTCTTCCCTGACCCATGAGCAGTAATTTTCAGTCACAAAAAACAGTTTGGTAAAAAGGAAAAGGGTTACTACAATTTTCAAATGAATCTCCATTCATACTAATCGTAAGAAAGGAGTTAAAAAGTTTAATTACTTTCTAAAAGAAATGCTGTTTAATTTGTTCCAAAGCAAACTCTTAGCACAGTATTTGAATAGTGATTCCGGGACTATTTTAATGAATTTTTTTTTTTTTTTCACTGAAAAATTAAACTTAAATGAAATTAATAAAATGTAAAGGAATACAAACCAAACTACACAAGATAAAAAACGACTAGGGGGCAGGAATATTAATCATTAAACATTAACAATATGCCAGGTATTAATTGGGGACACATTACATACAATATCTAACGAAAACTCAAGGTGAACAGCATCCTATACTTAGTTTATAGAGCAGTAAGGCAGGCTTGGTGAGGGCAGGGTAACTGACCACGTGACTCTGGAGTCAAGCCAAAGTGTAAGCCAAAGTTCTCTGGAGTTCTCCAAAGACAGACCGCAAGCCCCTTCAGTAGCCTCCATAGTTTTGTTTACACAATTGTTTATAATTGTTATAAAACAATAACTCAATCTGATCTAGGCTTAAGCTTTTATCACAAATCCTAAATAAGTCCAGAATAAATTATTTCTTGCATTTCTCCTCGTTTCCAGTTTTTCTGTTGTAGTTTTCTCCCCCAAAACAAAGAAACTAGCCCCAATCAAAAGATGAAAGACTGAAAAGGTGGCAATTCATACACAGATTCATTAATATTTTTCTAAATCAGAATAAATCATGTTATATGAAAGTAACATACTGAGTTACAATTTTTAAAAATACAATTTTAAAAAGTTCGTTCAACGAAAGACCGGCCATGAGCTGAACATTTCCATTAGGTGGATGCACTCCTTGGAGAGATCAGTCACGGGAAAACAGAAGGGCTGTGCATGCATGGGGTGATAGTCCAGGCGGAAGGAGTACACGGAGGAAGGACACAGGGAAGAGGTGACTATGGGGAGGAAGTGGGAAGAGAGCTGCTGCATTGTGGGAAATTGCAGTCAATGTATGAGACAAAGTGTATGTGAACTGCTATACGGAAAATTAATTTGCTCTGTAAACTGTCACCCAAATAACAATAAAAAAATTCTTAAAAAAAAATTTGATCTATATACATCAAAAATTTTTAGGAAAAAATGTCTCTGAAGGTCCATTAATTACTATACTGATAGAAAAACTTTATTCTGTCCACATTTTCCTGAAGGGAGTTTGTGTGCACTTGTGTGTTTTACTTTTATTTTGAGGTGGGAGAAAGAATTAAATATTTAGAGTACTTAATTCTTCAAATAAAACTCAAAGCTTCCATAGTGTGTTTAACAGGCTGCCTTAGTGACAGATGGTCTTCTAGGTCTCGTCACAGGGGTAGGAACCGAAGTTCAGAATGGGAAAGGTCTTTCTGGGTGACTTAAAACCTGGTCACTTATCAGCTATAGCTTAGGAACCCTACGTGTATTACTTAGTAATATAACCCAGACTGCCTTAAGCACTACCTACAGACTCAGAAAGAGGCAGGCAAAAGAGTCTGTGCTACAGAAGCTTTTAGCTCATCTGCTCTGCCTCATCTCCTGGCATCCCTCCGAGATCCTGCAGATGTGGTTCCACCACGATAAAGCAAACACCGCAAGACACTCAGTCACACGACTCTTTTGGCTTCCCAGTGCACATAAAAGTTTTAAGTCTGAAATATTTTGAGAATTACCAAAAATGCTGACACAAAGACACCAAGTGGGCACATGCTATTGAAAAAATGACACCAACAGATTTCCTCAACACAGGATTGCCACAAATCTCAATTTTTTGTAACACACAACCATCCACAAAGTGCACTGAAGAGCAGCACAGTAAAGCAAAGCACGCCTGTGGTTTTCCCCATGAAAACACCACTCATGTAGTTATGCCGGAAAGCAGGGAGGTATTCACACAATGCTAGGGTTCCCACCAAACCCAGGAGCCATCAGCAAAGGGCTTCCCCTAACAAATCGGGAAGAAGTGAAGCATGAAAGTAGACGACAGTAATGAATTACAACCCATTCAACAAAATGGGAACCCACGAGCCCAAATGAAGTGCAAAACTAACTCCAAGAAATGGGGACAAATGGAAAGCTTCTCCCTACAAGAGAATGCCAATCGATAAAAAGAAAATGGCAGCATTAGAAAATTAACATCATAGCCACAGCAGTCCTAATTCATTTAGGCAAGGATCACAAATAGAGGCTAAAATGAGTGAGAATTTGATGAGAAACAAGTAATTACAGAGTCTCAATGTATCTGGCCACAAATTACTTATTAATAGCAAAGTGAAAATTTACAAAGATTATAGCTAATAAATTGTTAGTATACACTGGAGATCCCTGGCAGAACACCCCCTCAACCAAGTGATCAACGTGAACTCAGTAAGAATGGGACACTGGCATCGTGTACATCCTGTTACGATACAGTGAGGAGGACTCCACATCACTTCTAGGGTATCCCCACTAGGAAGCACACCCTGGATTTCCTCATGAAGAATCTATCTGAGACTATGGGACATTATATAAAACATATGCCCTGAACATATCAAAATGTCAAGGTCAAGAAAGAAAAAGAAACAGTGCTCACTTTTAAAGAGCATTCTGACTACACTTCTTCCAAGAAAACTTTCTTTGTTCTTTTGGCAGTCCATGGTATATTCAATATTCTTCACCAGCATCATGATTCAAAGGTATCAATTCTTTGATCTTCCTTACTCACTACCCAGCTTTCACATGCAGATGAGGCACCTGAAAATACCATGGCTTGGGTCAGGTGCACCTTGGTCCTCAAGGTGACATGTTTGCTTTAGAACACTTTGAAGAGATCTTTTGCACAGAGAGGTCCACAAGAGGTCCAGACAACAAAGATAAACACTTTTACATATGCCACATTTTGTTATCAGGGATAACAAACATTAATCTATGAGTAAATAGATGGGTAAACAGGCTGAATGCCTATGTCTAGGCAAAAGGGAATATATCCATGACCAATATAAGGCTAGCAGACACTATTTCTACATAAGTTATTTGTATGTGAGGTAAGAATGTCCATACAACTAGAATGGGAGCAAAGTTATGATAACTTCTTAGGCACAGTCAACCACCCTGATGGAGCGAGTTGTTGGACCTGTGGACTTGGGACCACAGTCCAAGAGGACATCAAGCTCAAGTGGCATAATATACTATACAAAAAATACTGCTCTACATCCTAGTTTGATGATTAGTGACTGTGTTCTTAAAAGTTTGCAAGCAGCCATCTAGATGTTACAATGATTCACTCCTTGTCCAGAGAAAAGAAGAATGAAGAAAACCAAAGACACATGGAAACAATCAGTCCAAGGACTAGTGGACCATGGAACCTCAGCCTATATGACCATGAGACCAGAAGAACTACATGGTGCCCAGCTACCACTGTCGACCACTTGGAGGCAGACTGACACAGGAGATCCTGATCCTGGATAGAGCAGGAGAATGATGTGGAACACAACTCAGAATCATTTAAAAAAAACCAAAAAGACCAGGTTTACTGGTCTGATAAGAGACTGGTGAGATGCTCAGCACCAGGGCCCCTCGTTACCCTTCAGGTCTGGAACTGAACTCACTCCCATGGCTCCCAGACAAACGATATACCAGGTAGATACACTGCTTAGAACGATCAAACATGGAAGAACAGAAGGGCAGTATTTGCACAGTGGGACAGCTCAGGGGACAGGAATGCATAGGAAAGAAGGACACAGGGAAAAGGTTCATTACAAGGAGGACGTGGGAAGAGAGCTGTTACACTGTGGGGAATTACAGTCAATGGCATGACACAAAGTGCATGTGAACTGCTGTATAGAAAATGAATTTGCTCTGTAAACTTTCACCCAAATCACAATTTTAAAAAATAAAAGAAGAGGTCTTTTGTAGCAGATTTGCCCAATGCATGTCCTAATTATCCTGTGGCTACATGAAAGGATGTAGCATCTACAACAGGAAAGTTATACTGAGAAACTTAGGGGTAAAAAAGAGCATCAACTTTTGAGTCTGCAAATTATTCTCAAAAGGGTCAAGGAGTAAGTGTTTTTCAAAAGCACCCACATACACATATAAGCACACAAACACAGAGAGGGCGAGGAAGAGCGCGCACATACACACGATCAGCTGGGAAAGAAAAACTGTGGATGCATCTGGGTGAAAGGACACATGAGAGTTCCTTGTACTATTTCTGGAACTTTTCTTCAAGTTGTCAAATCACATCAATGAAAGAGCAACGGGCTTTTATAGAGTTTCATTTTTACAACAGCAACAAATCACAATGTGTGAGGATTACAGAAAGCTCTGAGGACCAGCAGCACCCTTGGTGTTTGGGAACAACTGACAGACCCTCCCCCTCTTACCTTTCTAACAGATTGTGGATCGCTTTGAAGAGCAGCGTCCTACATTCATAGGAAAGGCCATTTTCCCAGAGTCCTTCCTCCACAACTGAAACAAACAAACAACACAAAAAGAACCAGTCAGCAGGACATCCAGATACAAATTCAAAACACTTCTAACGCATTTTTCTAATAAATGGTAAAGTCTGGAAATGGCATGCAATTACTTTGTTTGCTTACTTAATTCAAGTAATTTAGAAATAGAAAATATGTCACATGCAATTCTCTGACAAGGAAAACAGTCTACTTAAGATTTCATTGGTCATTATTATTGTTGCTGTTTAATGATAAAATCGTCATTTAAAAAGTGAGAGTAAAAAAAACTTTCTAAAGTTAATGGGCTAATTTAAATAACTTAAATGATGTCACACTGAAATGGAGAAAAGGCATTAAATGCTCGTCTAAAGTCATAAAATACTTATGTAGAGAAGATGATTAACGTGTTGACTTGAACTGATGAGACATGTATTCTCTTCAGATAAAGGTCTTTCCAACCTGATCTTTCAAAGCTGAAAATCACTTGGATTCTCAAATTACTCTGTCTGCAGAACAATGTCACACAGACTAAGTTTCTTAGATTTCTTTTTCAAGGTAACAAGAACGTCACAAGTTAACACCACAGTTATATGTACTTTCATAGAGAAAATTAAAATATATCTGAGTTACACAAATTTCTTTAAATTTTTTGAAGGCCATATCTAACTATGCTTTTTCTGTTTTGAAGACATGCTTTTACGGAGATTGTCAGAAAATTAAATCGTGATATTACATCAAATTTAGTTCCTGAATTCACAATTTCACTAGTGTTTGAGATTTTGGAAAATAAATATATTTGCCTTTGGAATATGTTATTATAATGTTGAGTCTCAAGTAACTCTACCACCAAGAGAATCCAACAGACTAACAATGCCCCACGTGGTCCAAAAATTCTTTTTATTTTCATGTATATCTAAATAGATATAAAACACCCTAGAAAAGATAGTTAATTTCCTTCTAAATTATATTAGTTTAATTCAAGGTAGCCAAAAATTAGAAGGATGAAGGCAACATCTGTAGAAGAAAATTTCCTTTCTCTTTTCTTTGTTATCTTAACAGCAACACTCATCTGGGAACATTTTGACAGCAGATTAAAACAGATGTTAAATCCACAAAGCAACCCTCCCCTCCTTTTTTAATGCTTTTGCCACATCAATAGTCACTGTACAATGCATCTCCATATTCCCCATTCAGAAAGAATTCTTAAAAGTGTCTTTATATGCATGGCTTTTGTATCTACAGGCTTGGGGTTGGTTTGCTTCATGATACAGCTGGGTAAGTATTTCATTTCCTGATATGTCAGACAAGTTTTCATTTTCTGCACATGTGATTAAATCCTGATTTACTGATTCATCCCAAAGTAACCACAGTCACAGATATTTTGTTAGTTAGAGCTAGAGAAATTAAAATAAGCAAACAAATACTCCTGCTACCTAGCTGATCTCTATTCAAGATGAAACCTTGAAAAGTTTTCTACAATTTTCTGAAGGTGCCATTAATCTCTATGCACACATATTTCTCTCTTGGAGAGAGCTTTTCCTATGGGATCAAGAGGTCTAACCTTCCAATTACAGGAATACTCCATAACCATTTGCGTCTCTTCCCTAATGTGCTCCAGTGATCGAAGACACCACCAGTTGTAAGATGCACCATTATGAAAACAAGAACAGTGTATGAGTCAAGAGAACGCCTATGCTAAGCCAGTGTACAGTGAGTGTGGACTTTGAGCCAAAGGATATGGTGCATGTTTGGTTAACCATCGTTAACAAATTATTAGAGGCAAAAAACAGTTTGAGCAACAAAAGAACACAGACTAAATAATCCTCCCCAATAGCCTAATATTAGTTAAATCATGTACTTCATATTAAACACTGAAAATACAAATGTAACATAATAAAAAAAATTTTTAGGAATTTCTTAAATACTGAGAATTCTCTTTTTAAAGAAATACCTTTATAATATTACTTTTAAATATGGTAATTTTCATAGCTCTCTTTATAGTAGATAAATATTTTTAAAAAAAACACTGCCATCAAGTCGATCCCAACTCTTACAATCCTTTAGGACAAGACAAAACCACCCCGTAGGGTTTCCAATGCTGTAAATCTTTACAGAAGCAGACTGACTCATCTTTCTTCCATCAAGTAGCTAGTGGGTTCGAACCACTGACCTATAAATTAGCAGCCAAATGCCTTAATCACTGCACAATCTAAGCTCCTTGGTAAATACATAGCACTATGTAAGTTGTGCTCTGGTAGCATAGTGCCTAAGGCACTTGACTGCTAACCAGAAGCCTGGTGGTTCAAACCCACCAGCCACTCCTTGGAAGGAAGACTGGCCAATCTACTTCCACAGTGATACCACCTCGGAAACCCAATGAGGGGTCACTATGAGTCAGTTCTGACTCAATGGCACATAACAACAACAAACAACATGTAAATTTAGGTGCCAATTTAATAGAAAATAGGGAAGAATTACATGACTTAAAACAGAAATGATTCCATTAAACTTCTAATGTTTAAGAAAAATATACTAAAAAGTTAAAACAATAGTAATTTATGAATTACCTTGTAACTTAACAGGTACATCATCATTAGTAATTATAAAAGGATAGTGTTTGGACTTCGTGAAATTTCATGAATTTTACAGACTATACTGAAGATTTGAGAGCAGTCAATAATTTATCACAACTCGACACCTGTAACCAACAGTTGATCACATATTATCAGTTTTGGCTATAAATTTAAAGAGAATGGATTAATTTGTTAACTCTTTTAATTTACTGTCTAAAGTTTAAAAAAATTACTGCTTAGGAAACCTTATGGGGCAGCTCTACTCTATTCTATAGGGTCACTTTGAGTCAAAATGGACTCAACAGCACAGAAAAATAACAGTAAATATAAGGTCCCCTTGTAGTGCAATGGTTAGTGCTAAGCTACTAACCAAAAAGTTGGCAGTTCAAACCCACCCAAAGGCTCTGTGAGAGAAAGACCAAGAAAACCATTAGTGCAGTTCTACTATGTCACATGAGTGACTAATACAGCAAGAACATGAAATATACATACCAGTTTGCTTCTCTGACCATAAAAATCAGACCACCCTTTATTTCTTATCTACTTCATACTCAGAATTTCCAGAAGTGATAAAATACATAGAATAAGTAAAATACAATAAAACAATGTATGCTCTTAGTGGTGCAGTGGATAAGTGATCAGGTCAAATCCACCGAGCATGGGAGAAAGATGTGGCAGTTTGCTTCTGTAAAGATTTGCGGCCTCAGAGACCCTACGAAGCATTTCTACTGTCTTATAAGATGCTATGAGTTAGAACCAAGAGGACAGCAGTGTTTTTGGTTTGGGGATGTTTTAAAACAAATGTCTAAAATCCCAAAATGAGCAAAGTCTACATTGGTATTTTCAAAACCTCCAACATTACTGACCAACAGTTTCTCCCTGTGTTACATCTCAAGCTCCAGGCTAGGAACAAGGAATGAAAAGTTAATGCCGTCAAAGGCCAATCTAGACATGAAAACCACTGTGAGGCAAAAATTACACTGAATACTTAGCAGAAGATCTACAAAACATTTTATTTTAAAAAGAATCTTAACATACTGAAACGGGGTAAAGGACACCTACCCAGCATTCCCTTTAGTCACTGTGGTAGTCAGTATGTGTGTCAACTTGGCTGGGCCTGGTTGAGTGGCTGGGCAGCTAGGTGGATGTAGTATTCCCCATGATGAGACTGGTAATCAACTCCATGGTGGAATCTACTGTGAACAGCTGTGTAGCTGCCTCAAGAACGTGGTTTGCTTCCCGTATGTAAGCAGCACCTTTGGGAATGGTCTCTAGCCTATGGCACGCTTGGACCCTGCATGTAGCCGTGCCGTTGTTCAGCAGCCTGCCATGCTCTGCCGACCTTGGGACTCTCAAGAGACTTGAATTAATGGCCCACCGTGTGGTTTGGTAACATCGGGACTGTGCCTTCTTACTTGTCAGCCTTGGGTTTGTCAGTCTCAGCAGCCAGCAGCTGTCTGAGTGAAGAAAAGCCTCTAGCTCCAGTGGGCCGGGAGCAGGAAGCAGCGCT